ATGGCCTTCTGAGTCTCAGGGTGGGCTCAGTAAATATCTACTGCTTTGAACAATAGCATGAGGAGTTCACAAATCAAATCAGACTAGGTCTCTGACCTTTAGAGCTCGAAATCTAGTGGGAGAGACAGGCCCATAAATAAGGAAGCACAATGCTGAGTGACTAGGAGAAGCATGGTGCCATCGGGGGCATTGGACCCTGTCTGATGAGCCCAGGGGGGGCTTCCTGGAGGTGGCATGTGCACGAGGATCCTTAGAGGGTGAGGAGGAGTTTCCCAGGTCAGGAGAGTGGGGAACGGGAGGCAATCCAGAGAGAGGAAAAATATTAGTAAAGGCAAGGAGGCAAGAGAGCGTGTGTGTGTGTGTGTGTGTGTGTCTGTGTGTGTGTGTGTGTCTGTGTCTGTGTGTTTGTGTCTGTGTGTGTGTGTGTGTGTGTCTGTGTCTGTGTGTCCATCCCACAGTGCAATAGTGCAGAGCGTGAATGACAGACAGATCATTGGGCTTGAATCCTTCCTGCACCACGTCCAAGCAAAATGCTCTTAAGCAGGTTACTTAACCTCTCTGTGCCTAGATTCCCTATGTGCAAAGTGAAAGTAATAATAGTACTTATCATGTAATCAGAATTAAATAACGTAGTACCTGAAAAGCATTTAGAGTAGTGCCTGGCACTTAGTAAGAACTTAGTGAACCTTCACTATTAATTTCGTCAATTCCATTTGAAGAACTGGGAAAGGCACCGTTTCTTCCTTTTTCCATAGACCTCCACTCTCCCCTCTGTGCTGTGAGCCTGGCTGCCAACAGGGTTGCAGCTGGCACCCAGCACCTCCCGCACCAGGGCTCTGGAGGCTAGGACCCACTGCTGTGGAGACTGTGAGAATTTCCCCAGGGCCCTCCCTGGGGCCAGGCCTCTTTCAGGCCCTGCTCCTTCCTCTACCCCTGGACCCAACATAGGACTTCACCTGAGACACACGTATAGCTGAGGACAAAAGGGGCCTGGCAGCTCCCCACCCGTTCACACGAGCCTCGACTGCACTCAGAAGGAGAGAATTTCAACCCACCTTCCAGCCCTGAGGCCAAGGCCCTGGCCAAAGTTAATGCAGGATGACCGGCCATTCAGCCTCACTGGGCTTAACTCGGGGCAAGACTCCCTTATCCATGAGTCTGAGCCCCAAACCTCAGCCTGCCCCTTCATCCACATTTGCTAGGCTCCATCTCCCTGCGTCCCCAGATAACACTGTCCCCAAGTGTGAGTCTCATGGCCTTAAGCAAGTCATGGGACCTTCCTGCCCCCCTTTGACCTGCCATCCGCACTCAGGAGGGGCTTTGGCCTATTTGGGGAAAAAGCACTGTAATAGTAGCAGGAAGAGCCGTGGTGGTTACACCAAGCCCGCAGCTCATATGAACTGGGCTCCCCGCCAAGCAAATTCCCTGGCAGGAACCAGAAACCTAATAATATCAACTCTCATTCCTGAGGCACCTTTAATTTTTCAAAACACATTTTGCATCAATTATTCGATCCTCAGAATAAACTTGTGAAATACTACTATCCTCGCTGGCAGAAGTGAAAGATGCTGCAAAGACGAAAGCAACCTGCCCAAAGCCGCACGACTTGCCTGAGCTCTGCCCGGGGGTCTTCCCATTGCTCGGCCCCTTCTCGCTCCCCAGGGCAGCAAGGGAGGGGGTCCGGCCCATGTACTTATTCCACCAACGCTGAATGCCTTTCTGGGTCTGGCCTTACATTAGGTGCTAGTGATAAAGCAGTGAACAAGACAGGCAACCCTCCCTGCCCTCTTGGAGTTTACAGTCTAGTGGGGAGGCAAATAATCCACTTGCAGACAAACGAATTCAGTAACCACAGAGGCAGAGCAGTGCAGTGAAGGGAAGATGCCGAAGGGGAATGGGAGAGGGTGGGGGGACCACAGACAGGGTGGTTGGGAAAGGCCTCACTGGGGAGACGACCTGGAGGACAAGCAGCGGCAGCCTTGGAAAGAGCATTCCGGGTAAGAGCCTGACGTATTCCAGGATGGCCAGTGGGCTCAGGGGAGAAGGGCACAAGGCCACATCGGAAGCAAGGACAGAGGACAGACTTTGTAGGCCGTGATAGGAGCTGGGAGTTTATTCCAAGAACAAGGTGAAGCCCTTGAAGGATATTAAGCAAGAGTGAGATGTAATCCGATCTGTACATTTTAGAAGGATGTTTCAGGCTGTTCTGTGGAGAATGGACCACAAGGGAGCAGGTGCAGAGGCAGGAGAGCAACAAGAAAGCCCTGGCGATGGCCTGCAAGAGGGCGGGGGCCTGGACCAGGGTGGCAGCAGACCTGGGGATGAGGGAGGGGCACAGGCTGATGAACCGGACGTGGGACTGAGGATCAGGCAGGAGTCAGAACGTCAGCTGAGGCTCACCTGTGAGGAAGTCGCGGACCTGCTGGATGAGGAGCCGCGTGCGTCTGACGTCTTCCTCCATCTGTGAGCGGCTGGTGCTCACCTGGGTCTCCAGGCGCTGGGCATCTGACTGCACCTGCAAGGCAGCTTCCTCGGCTGCCCTGATCTGTTGATACACACCAGAGGTCAGAAGGGCCTTATGCCCGAGGGACCCTCTCGGCAGCCTCCAAGGATTCTGTGGGTTATACTCTACCCAAGACCTACCTAGGAGACATTTGTAACCAACCTGGTTTGGCCCCAGAAGAAATGATGTGGATGTTGTGTAAAAAAAAAAAAATAGCCCAAAACATTGTCTGCAAACTCTATCTCAAACTTGCTGTGGGTCGCTGAGCAAGTCACCTAACATGACTGGCCATGAAGTGGGAACTCTGAGTGGCCTGGGGGCTCCTTTCTGTCCACCTCCCCCCTCCCTGTGCTCACCCCACCTCCCCCACACCTACCATCTGCCTGGTCTGCTGGAGCTGGGAGTTGAAGCCCCGCAGCTGCTCAGCCACCTGCCCCGCCGTCTGGAAGGACCCACCAGCCCTAGGGAGGATGCCCCTGCAGTGGGAGCCACAGGCTGTCCTGTTGTCTTGGGGACACAGCTCACCAGGGCACGCTCCTGGGGTACAGGCCGTCTGCCGGGAGCCACCACAGAGCTGTGGAGAGATGGGGGTGTCAGAGAGGCTACCCCAGGCTCCTCAACAACCACTCCCATCCCACACCCAGCAAGCAACCAGGCATCTCCATGACAACCAGGCACCAGAAACTTGTTTCCTTGGCAACTGCTGAGCACACGGTAAGGGGCACAGGGTCGGGATGGGTGGTGGAGAGGGGCAGACTCTCACTGGGGCAGGTTTGTCCTAATGGGCACCGGGTGGCAGCACTTGGTCTGTGACAAGCTGGGACAGGGGCTCCCGGAGGGGGGCTCCCATGCCACGAGTCACCTTGTTGATGGTGGGTGTCAGGTCAGGCAAGGAAGCCATCTCCAGCCTCAGAGCCGCGAGCTGGGGGCCGCTGGCTCCTTCTGCGCCCCCTGCCTGCCTCTCCAGCCCCTCTGCCTCTCTCCGGCTGTCCCTGAGCTGAAGCAGCAAGCGGGAGCTGTCGGAGACCTGCCGAGCAGCCTGGGCCGACCGCTCACGGGCTGCGGACAGGACGCGGAAGGCTCCTGTGGGCAGAGGAGCGGGGAGTGAGCTGCTCCTGGACCCGGAGGCCTGGAGGTGCAGGAGGAGCGGGAGGGGGGGGCCGTGGCGTGCCCGTGGCCATGGCAGTGCGGGCTGAGTCCCCCCTCCTCACCTGAAGGATCTGCACTGCTTATTTTTTCAAACTGCTCCCTCTTGTTCTGATACATAACAAGGAGGCGATTGAAGCCTCTGTTCAGACTCTCCAGGTCTCCTGGGAGGGATGCCGTCTCCTCCTCTAGGATCAGATCTGGCTGCAGGCCCTGGAGAGTCCGCCTGAAATGAGAAAGGAGCTTTCACTAACATACAGGAGCGGTTGGCCTCCCCAGAGCCAGCCACCCCCTCAGTTACTGAGTCAGGAATAACAGAGGCCTTCGGCGAAGGCAACAGAACAGAGAATCCGCAGGCTGAAGGGGCCTGCTGCACAGAGGTCAGGAGGGCAGGCGCAACCTCCCGCCACCCTCTTGCAGGCAGGGCCATAAAACACTCTGCTTCCTTGCTGTCCGTGACCCTAACATTCCTGGTCCTCCTCCCCTCCCACACTCTCCCCTTGCTCCTGGCCTCCACAAGGGACACTACCCTGACCCCCCACTCCTCAGCTCTCCACAGGCTGTCGTCACCACCACCTGCACAGCGTGGCTCCCAAATCTCTCTTCTGCACTCCACACCCCGCGCTGAGCTCCAGACCCCATGCCACAGCCACCGGTCAGCCCACCTGAAGGGGGCTCAGGATTCACCCACCCAGGCCCACGGTCACTGAGCTCTCAGAGATTCCTCTCTCCCCATGCCCTTTGCAGCTCCAACAACCCC